TAAAGAATCTGTTTCTCTGTAAAAGAATTTGGAGAAATGAAATTTCTTGGAACAATAAAAAGCGTATCAAACTATAAATGAATTTCTTTCAATAAATGAGAATTTCTAAATTATCTAAAAGCTAAATCATGTATAATTGTGTATAAATTCTTAATTTTACCAGTGTTTTCTTTTCACATATCCAATCAAAATGATCACCGAGAAATATACTAAAATTAAAGCATTAAAATAATTAAAATTTACCGTATTACCATATTTCTGTAAATTGTAGCTAAATTTCTTAGTATTTTACTTCAATCGATCCATATAGACTACTTATAATTTTCTTTAATAAAAAACTACTACTAATAATAGTAATTTTTTAAAAAAGTTCATTAATTATTAAAAACTAACTTCCAGAATATATATGAATAATAAAATTGTAAAATATAAAACCACGTAGCATGACTAGATTTAAATTACTTTTAAAGACATGCATTGGAAACTAACACCTCACTGCATAGTCATCTGGCCTACGCAAATTAGCTTTAATTATATTATAGATTGCATCATGGGATAAGTATCGTGTTATATTTTTTTAATTTTAAAAATAGCAAAGATTAATATATAATAATAATAGTAATATGATACAGCCATTAAAACATAGTAAAAGTAAAGGTGAAAGATTGTTGATAGAATAAGGAAATGCAACACATTGGACGATCTGCCAAGAAGGAACGCCTCCCGGGAGGATTTTCCATGGAAACTATCCCCACTGTAGGTGTTAGACACGTGAAGAAAACCGAGAAAACTCAACGTGGTATGGTTTTGAGCCTCATCCTTTGGTGAGGCTCAAAACCGCGACCATCTTGGCCATGGTGGCACAATAATAGTGAACGATGTAAAAACAATAATTTAGTCGATTACTCGTACAGTACAGTACATCAAAGACTCTCCCATTGTGGAAAGAGTTTGACTATCACACTGATTATAATATCTTGAATTTGATGGCCGGATATATCGGGTTCCGTTCCTCACCATCGGCATTCCATTGTGTATCTTGATTTAAAGGTCCTCTTATTATCCTGTGGGAAGAAAGAATCCAAAAGAAAGAAAATCGTTAAATGGTCTAGTCCAGGGACGGCGATATGATAGAAGTAACAACCAGAATAAGTAGATACATACGAAACAATAACGATTTTAACCTTAAAAATTGTTACTCTTAAGATTCTACTAAAATGGAGATTAATGAAAATATAACAGATTCAAATTAAAAAAAAGGTAAAATATATCTAAGTGAATAAAAGAAACTCATTCACTTTTGATGTAGTCTGAAAAGAGCGATAAAACCGAAACGTGTTACTACTTATATTTTAAAAGTCAAATAAAAAGGAGTCTAAAACAAGTGATTTCTTGGCTGAGATGTCGGATATCAACGAGTTATACACTATGGATTCGCGGACTGTATAAAATTAATGAATCTCTCTGAAAAGAAAATTGTTTATAAATTGCCTTTCTATTTTCCTTAAGATATAAAATATCAGTATATGATAATGGGCGTTTGCTCATTAGTTAGATGTTCAAGTAACAGCACGATTCAGAGAAGTTATAAATTTCTATGTTTTTTTCAGAGAAAACGTAGAATATAAGTTGAAATATTGTTATTTTTTATCTCCGTTTTTCTCTACCATTCATGGAAATTTACGATAGACAGTCATCTCTATATTTTAAAATTTAAATGAAATTTTTAATAACTTTTCTTTGTTCAAAGCTAGATCAAATAGATCAAAGCTAATCAAATTTTTCTACGTATTTAATTAAATTTCAAACAGATCATTATTTTTAAACGTTTTTATTTATCTTTATATATTCTCAAAAATCTTACAACCCAAATTACATTTATTTACAATCGAGATAAAAGACTGAAACTGAGAACATACTTATTCAAGGATAATGCATTTTAATGATGTTTTAGGGAGTGCGCCCACCATTCTCCCCACATCGAAACCCGATAAACATAACAAAATTTAGAATTTAATCATGCTATGTGTGTGTGTAAATGCACTGTAATGAAGTATACGGTGGGGTGATGTCACTCCACCATCCCCTACTCCCAATTTCAAAAAACATGACCAATAGCAGCGTTTTATTTAAAAATTTAAAAATATAGTATATTAAAAGTATTATTATTAAGTAAAGTTTACCTCAAACTTGCTTTAATAATATATTTTAGTTATATTTATTAATTATATATTTGAATCTATCAATATTATCCTAATTCCTGTAACCGATGTAATAGATCAAAGCTACCCGTATTAGAATGTGCGAAATCGTCCACTTCGATCCTGTAAATATTTATTAATTAAGTTATATTTATCTACCCATAGGATGAGTTCATTTGTAAGACACAAATGAACTCATCCTATCTCTACAGATTTCGTGCATACTCTTACTTATCTTCTATTTTGGTAGCAGAAACTAAAACTCATTTATCATATATTTTAATCCAAATCCAATAGTTTAATTTTGAATCTGTTAAAAAGATGATGAATGAGTGTACACTATATAATCAAACTAATAGACTAAATCTTACAAAGAGAGGGCCAGACTTAGCCCTAAACACAAATATCTTGTCCAAATAATAGAACAAGCATTTCCGAAAAACGGGCCTCTGAAAATTGAGTGTTTAGTTTATAAGACTTTGGAGTCTTATAAGCTAACACTAAACAAGCTTTATATGTATATTAGCACATGAGCCCCGGCGTTGCTCGGACAAAAAGTAACGATAGCAAAGATTAAGATTATTAGATTATAGCCGATCTTACCCGTTTTCACCGAGTGCAAGAATTAAGTCCCTCTTCTTCCGAGACTAATTTGAGAATTTTTAGATACCTGCTTACCACACCGGGATAACGATAATTAAGACACTGCAACCACTAACAGGTGCGTAGTACCTCTAAGTGATAAATACTAAACGTTTTCGTAACTCTTTCTGGGTTCTTCTTCAGGTTTAATAAATTCGAAAAATAAGCTGGATCTTCCAGAATCATTCATAAATATAAATTCGAACATTAAGACGAAGAGTTCGAATAAAGCGAACTTATGTGCATGCGCTCCCCGTGTCAACTTTATATACAATGAAACACTAAATATCGTTGAGAATTTTTAGAAGGGTCTAAAAATATGTTCGATTTCCTGCATAAATGCAAAAAAAAGCATCTAAAATAGTATAATAGAAGCCGCGTTCTTCACGGTAAGCCTTAAACCTGTCCCTCTTCCCTCGTGGAGGGATTTCGAAAAATCCCTTCTTATTGTACGTTCTCATGACGTCCCCAAACTGTTTACCAAATTTCAACTTTCAACTCCGAACCGTTTGGACTCTGCGCTTATTATTATTATCAGCCCATCTCGATTATAAGATGTAGGTTCGAACCTTCGCAATTTTACTTTTTTAATGTGTAGGAAATAAGAAAATTATTATATTATTTTACCGTATCATTAGCCTTATTATTACTATTATTGTTCCTCACGTTTAATGCTTATAAAACAAGAGATTAAAAAACGTGACGACATGTCCTGTTTAGCGAAAACAAAGTCTGTAGATTTAACTTTTGTATGCCGTACAGGCCTACAGGATGTTTGATCTTGTTCCAGGGTATATCTATTGTAAGCATTGTTTGACACAGATCAATTGTAAAGGTGCCCGTTTAAGTTAAAAACTTGGAATTTGGAAAAAAAATTGCAAAATTGTGATTTAGTTCATTTTCCTACTTGAAAAAATTATAAGGAATTATATTATGGTTGAAATTTTAGGAAATATGCTACAAATATTCGAGAATCTATATATTAATTGAAAGAGGGTTTCAGTTTTTCCGACTTAGTTTGAATAAACGGCCAGGAATAAAAAATATGGTTCGGGTATCAAATTAAAGCTCTTATCCTGTAGATGCTGCTGCTGAAGAGAGATTTGAGAAAGCTTCAGTGGTTCAGGCGTGGCGAAGTTGCAAAGATACACTGTTAAGCCTACAGAACAAACATGTCGTGGTCCTATCCCCGTAAACTTTAGCCAGAGCAATTTTATTTTTGCTTTTTAATTTCATTCTTGTAAATGCTGAGGTCAATAAAGGCACTGTATATTTTAGTTACCAAGACTATTGTTTCTATCATCCTCTCCCAACTCAACCTCGCCAATCTCCCATCCCCTTAAAAGCGCGAGCAACGCCGGACACGTGCGGCTAGTTATTATTTAAATTTGAAAACCGATTTGAAGGATTCAAGGCAGGCAAAAGTGAATTTTTAATATTTAGTGCTCCTTCTTTTAATGCCGAAAAAAAACAAAAGAAACATCCTAATAGTATTGATTGAAATCTAGAGCAACAATGCTAAAAGATGAAGTTAGTGTTCCAGACTTTTAAGACGTGAATTCAGCCGTTCTCACTCGAACAGACAAACAGACGTGAATTCGAAACTAGTCTACATACCAGGTTTATCCTGAATATATATGTAAAAAGTTTTTTAAAAACCGTTTCAGCTCTTCTCGAGTGATATTCGAGTAGGCAAAAATACAGATATAATTTCAATTTTATACCACATAGATTAAATTAAATACTATTTCAATTGTTTATACTATTTAACAAAAATATCAAGGAAGTTATCTGTATATATAAATTACAATAATTTCTGAAAGAATACGAATTATTCCATATTCACAACTCAAAAAATTCCTAAATTTGTTTTTATGAAATGATCGAGTAGATGTATCAAAGTGATACTACATACAGGCTAATTTTGAATCCAGTTTTCAATGAAATATTTTATAATTTGTATCCATCAATCGTCTTCTTATAAAGTTATTAACATTTTTCTTATAAAGCCGTTAATAATTTAACAACTTTATGATTCTTAAAATCTAATATGTGAAGACCCTTAGAAAATTAAAACTAAATTGACGGAAAACAAGAAAAGCAAGATAAAAAAAAATAATAAAATTATTTATTTGAACTTACGTTAATGTTGTCGACTGTTGGAATGTTGTGTATCGTGATGACGTCGAAGATCCACTTTCCTCTGGAAAGCACGCGGGCATATATCGCAAGAAAATGGTTTATATCCAGTATGTTTTCGACTATGTGTTATTAGATTCGACGATTGGCTGAAGGCCTTTCCGCATACACCACATTTGTGAGGTTTCTCTCCTAGAATAGAATAGAAAACCTGAGTTATTCCTCAATTTTCTTTGTACTTGTACTGTACATTTCTAATAGGCCTATGTCATGTAAACTCACAATTTCATACAAAATCAAATTCGCTAAAAACATAAAATGCAATGTTAAAGTAATTTAAATTCGCAGGATCTCAATAATTTACAATTTAAAATCGAATACTGGCGAGAACACGAAATAACTCTAAACCGCTGTTTAGAGGTTATTTTACATGCATTTCAAAAAGAAACGTTCTTGAAAAATGGCCTTCGCTGTTGAGAGGTGAGAGGTTATTGTAGTTTCGACTGTGTTTGAAATCGAGTAATGATAATTTTAATTAACAAAGTTTGATATCNTTTCTGCATTATTTTCAGATTCATGCTTTACCTTTTGCAAAAAGTGTATGTAATTTTAGATTGCTTGCTTCCAGTTAAAAGATCTTTATAAATTTCCTTATATGGGGCTAAGCACTTATGGAATAAGGGAAAAACATCTGGCAACACAGAAGCAAAAGCGTCGAGATCTGGCGAAATCGAAGCAATTTTCGCGAAGGACCATGTGTATGGAGACGAGAAAAGAAAATTTACACACTGAAGTACTAATAGTTCACAAAAATAATAATTTTCGTGAACTATTAGTACTTAAGTATGTAAAAATTTATTACATTTCATGTTGTACGAGGGTTTTACCTATTTCTCGAACCGTGTCAGAGTGAATCCGTGCTATAAAAGTACCGTGTTATACGGGGGTTACTTGTACTGTCTCTGCGTTGTTCAGAACCCAAAACAATGGCAAGAAAGGCGTCAGGATGGCCGGTACGTGAGAAGATCCCCCCAAAAATTGGAATTACTTACACGGCACATTTCTTGGAAATTGTGTTTTAACGAGTTTACTGTCAGTTTGTTTATCAGACACTATGAGGAAACAATTCTACAGCGCCTGGACGCAATAATGGTAGACCGCCAAGACTGCTGCCAGAGATCAAATTTTGTGTAACCTCGTCATGAAATACCGAACTGGTACGTTTACCTGGCAGCAGAATTGTGGAGAGGACGCAAAGAACGTCCTGTATCTCGACGAACTTCTAGTAAAGTTCGGTTTACATTGTCATACGAACCACTGCAAACGAATGAAACGAACACTAACCGAAACGAAATATTTGCCGCAATGTACTACTCGACACAAACTAAGTTAGAATGTGATTGACTAAAAAGATTTTGAACACTAATTGTGAAAAGTTACTTGGTCGAACGAACCGAAGTTAGGCAAAAGTTGAGATATTCTCAACTCCTAACAAACTGGTCGAACACTCATTGAAAGAGGACAACCGGTAGTTCGTATCCACTTCATAGTGGATCCTATGCCAATATGAAGCATGAGTGTTAGCATTGGTTTCAGCTTACTCTTGTACAGTACGAACAAGAGTAAGCTGAAACCCATGCTAACATCAGTCCAGAACAGAAAGCTGTTGCATGGGCCAGGTACCACCATCTGCCTAGATATCAGATGACTATTTGGTATCACGAGTCGCCCTTTCCAGTACTGTATGAAAGTTGTGGGTAGAGAGTCATTAGATACGGTTCAATGAAAGGTTTGCCCAAAACTATGTGAAGAAAAGTTTCCAACCACGATATAACTGTGGCGGTGTTTTGGACATTCTAGTATTAATGATTTAATTCCTTATGATGTCAATGCATAACACTACCAGGCAATTTTACACCTGCGTATTTTTGCCATATGTAGCCGAGCTATGTTCGAAGAAGATGCGATTTTCCAACGAGCATTCGCCAAACAGTGTATTGTAAGCTCCATCACTGCTTGGCATCGCCAAAATCGGGCCTAAGACTTGGAATGGGCCTCAAATCCGTTCAATATGAATCCAATGGAGGATCTGTGGTGTGTCCTCAAGAAAGATATGTGAAAACACAAACCCGAACAAAAGATCAACTGAAGATGGTACTTCAAGAAGCGTGGACGAAAATTCCACAAAACCTTTATTGTGACTAAGTGGATTAGGTCACATCAATGTCTAGTTCGATCGAGTTGTCGATGCGCATGAAAGACCCACGAAGTGATGATTGTATGCGAATGCAAAGGGTGTATAAATTTATTGTCTCTACGTTTTGAGCGAAATAATGTTTCTAGGCATACATCAAGATGCCTGTCACAATATACTGTACGTACTAATTTTTATTGTAGAGCATAACTCAAGTAAATTACTTTGTTTAGCATAAAATTTCCTTACAAATTACAAATAATTCTGCTTTTTTACCATTTATGACAGGTGCACATGAGATGTGAGTATATTTACTGCCGCGGGTTAGGTATAATTAAGTTAATCATTATTGTGTGTAAAATTCATGTATAAGTATTTCGCTCTTTTATGTTGGTACATGGCACCACAACAAATTTCTTCTTACAGGTAATAGTTGAAATCACAGCCATTAAATTTATATGATTTTACTCTATTCTTATTTAAGTATTTTAACTACAAAGATTTGTTAATGTTTATTAAATTTTAAGTATTTTTTTAAATTGAATTATTATTAATATGTAATTTGAAGTCCCTTTTATTTCTTATCCACTACTCGTGATGATGAATTTCACTACAGGCCAAGAACCTGTGATGAATAAACTTTAGACTGTCATGTTTGATGTGCTATTTCCTGGCATTAGTCAAATCTAATCGGAAATATATAAAGCTTAAAAAAATAATTATGGAATTTAAACATACGTTAACTGATTATATAAACCGTATTTTTGCACATTAATGCTGAGATACAAAACTAATTTCTCTGACGTGACACTAGTTCAGATTTTTTCAATAGTCAATTAACTATTTTATTATATTATCTAATATTTATTTAAATATTTTAGAATTCTAAGTCTTTCTACAAATAAACAAAGTCGTTTATGTAGCATGATAATGTTAAAATGCATCAATTTACTGAAATTATAATTCGATCTAATATGTCTAACGAGTAACGCTGTTTAGTAACGTTCCTGCTGCATTTTTCAAATTTCAGACCTATACATTTCCACTGTCATCTGTTCGACCTTCGTTAATCTCGAGAACGGAGTTAGATACATGAAAATCGAGACCAGATATGGAAAGCTTAGGGACCGCGTGCCACGATTAACTTATATACGAGCTTCCGGTCTAGACTGGAAGTCACGTTATTTCAATTCAAATTTTTATTCATTAAGAAGTTAGATGACAGGCGTAACTCGATTGTCATCACGAGTGGTATGATGTATAGGCGCAAGACTACTAAAATGCAGACCAGACAGTAAACGTCGGGGCCGGAGACCCCGATTAACGATTACGAACGTCCGATCCGAACCGGAAGTCACGTGATGCTTAAAAATTAAAATTTGATTAAAGCAGCCTAGAATTGTGATGATGTCACAATAAATAATTGCTCGTTACTTTTAGCCTTAAAACTACTCTACTAACGACTTGTTTACGGATTAATGGATGAACAAAAGAGAAAGCGCTGTCAAATTATGCCTGTGAAGTTTCGCTTAAATATCGTTGGCGTTTTTCAATAACGGACTGTTATGGAAAAAAAATCTACAAGAAAAAGTGAAATTGTATTGCCAGTTTGTTAAGCTGAATATTCAATGTGATCTCCAATAGGTACTGATATACAATATTTTTACAATTTTCATTATTTTAATAATATTGATAGCACAAACGTTAAGATGTACAGTACAGTACATTGTGAGATATAAAATTTAAAGACATAGTTGATCGATAAAAACAAAAAAACAGTCTAAATTCTTAAAGTTATTATTAATACTTAAATTTATATATATATAAATTTATAGTATTTGTATCAATTATTAGAAATAGCTTTTCAGTATTTTTTGCAACAAAATTCTGTTAGTCTTCTATTCACAATGTATCAATAAATTTATCCTCATTTTTTTGCATTCAGCCATGGAAACAAACTTAAATGTTTAAATTGGAACAGACAAAAATATTATCTCGAACGCCTTAAAAATACTAATATCTGTAATATAAAAGTATAACATTGAAATTTTGAGATAATATATTAAGGACAAAAATGTATAATAGTACCTAATCATATAAAATAAACTTTCAACGATTTACTTACATTGACAACTAAATTTATCCTGGGAATAAAATGAATTGAGGGCATATGGGCCTCCTGGAAGGACTTTTTATGGGAAGCTTGCCCCTTCGTACATGTTAGACAGATGAAGAAAACTCGGAAAACTCCACTCTTTCGTCAAGACTGCTACTAGTATTCAGTGGTTTTATCCAATCGATCATTGGATAGCCAATCTTCGGAAGCCAATAGCCAAATTTTATTCGTTAGACCGAAAGAGACGCAATAAAACGCCATCAAAAAACACGTCGCTAATTTATATTTCGCTAAAAGTTCTTGATAACTTAAGATCACTTAATGAGTTAACAAGAACTTCAGAACTAGGACAAAAAATTGAATTATTCAAATAATTTATAGTCTTACAACCATCCAGAAGAAGGGGTTTTGGGATTTTTTCCCGCGCCCGGAGAAAACTTAAGGGTCCCACCCTTATACAATTAATATCATTTTTACTAAAAGAAAATAAAATCTTTAAGACTGCTTTCTATTAATAAAGAATCGTTTTACACATTTCATTTGTTAAAAGGAAGATGGCTAAAGGGGCCCGCAAGGGGCGCATCTTTTCTTAGAGTTTTATAAAATTCATTAAATTTTATGGTATATTACCATAGTACTATTATAATATTTAGACTAAAAGACAAGCATTTTTGTTTATTTCAAGGAAACATTTTTAATAGTTCTATTGCGTAGGTTAGTGGTTTTCAGACTGCAAAGCGAAGAAATTATCATCATTAACTTATTTTTGAGTACAACTCCATCAAGTACTCGAAATCCGTTGGTTTCAATACAATATAGCATTAAAATACTTCAATGCAATAATATTAACGAAATAAACATGGAAGTTATCATTGCGGTTAG